GGCAGCGTGCCCACATGTTCCTTCTCTTTCCGTATTTGCGTCCATTTCTAGATTTGTGTGCAAGAAATGTATTTGTCGGTCTTATCTGTTAACATGGATAGCATTCACCAAATGACACTCGATGTGAATCATGACTGCTGAACCAAGGAGCTGTGGTTGTCCATAAATAATGACTTGTAGCCCATGAACCATCTCAGCATCATAACCATTATTCTCACACAAATCCCTTCAGAAAGTCCACTTCAGTACGCCCCAACAATGGGTCAACCCTTCTCTGTTAATCATAATTCTGCGGACCCTGCCACCAGTGATCCAGTCAGACTATTCTTTACTCTGGTATCCGCCTTCCTTCGAGAAGTCATCGTCACTATACCCGACGTCCCAGCCGATGATGCTTTCGACGGAGAAGTTTTCCTCCACTTCAGCCGTTGTGGAATGCCCTCAGAGGTCGTCTACAAGTATTCTAAAGGAGCGGCCTTTATGGCACGATGCTTCTACCCACACCTAGATCGTGACACCCAATTGTCCATCGGAGTCTGGACGTCATACATCTTCTCAATTGATGATCTCTGTGAGGGAGCCGAGTTCAGAGAGAACCTCAAGTATTACCGCGCATACCTCTTGGGAATCCACCAGCCACAGTGGGCCTACATTCGTGGCCTATTCTCAGCCTTGGAGGACCTCTGCACCCGCTACGACCCCTTTGTTGGTGACATGATCTTCAAGTCGTCAATGGATTACATCAGTGTGAACGTCTTCGAAGTAGAGCAGAAGGGACGTCTTAAGGTTGATCGCAATACCAGCATGTTTCCCGAATTCCTGCGGCAAAAGAGCGGAATCGGAGAGGCCTATGCATTCGCCAACTTCCCCAAAGGCAGCCTTGATGTTGCGTCTTACATTATCCTAATTCCTGATCTGGCAGCGATTGTGCCACAGCTCAATGATATTGTTTCCTTCTATAAGGAGTCGATCATCGGCGACGAGCAAGATACTAATTTGATGCTTGTATCTGAAGTCGAGGGCTGCTCTGCTACTGAAGCGTTGGAGATGACGGTTGACAAGTGTCTTCATAGTATTCGGAGATTACGTGCAGCCTGCTTGAGAGATGAGGACCTTCGAACTGTGGTGAATTCTTTTGTGGAGGGGTTTGCTTTGTATCATTTGAAATGGTCCCGTTATCATATGGATGACTTTGGGGACTTCCGCGAGTGGCTGTTGGAAGGTCAATGATTTTGGCGAATATAGTTAGAGCCGATGTATGAAATCGGTTCTACTATACATGGCTATCGTCAACTTGGCGAGATTAATACTAGATAAATGGCGGATATTGTTACTGTGGATTTGGCGGGACCTTGCAGGGTTTTCGATATTTGGATTAGTAGTTGGACCGTGTTGAACTTGGCGATCATGTTTCTAGTGTAATGAAAGAACTGTATTGTATTCGTCTAAGACATTTATGGCCAATGCATGAGTTCGGACTACAAAAATCACACTTTCTCTAGCCTCATGTTGTACTGACTTGCACAACTTACACAGCCGAGGGAGATATATGTTCCATGGCAAATCCGTGATTGATTCCAGACCTGGATAAACCGTTGATGCAATATAGCCCGTAAGACCTGACTGCCACCTCAAGTTTTCAGCTATATATTCTACTTATTCTAAGTTGACCACACATAATCTCGGAGTTATGCCATGTCGAATTGGAGCAGAGCATTGCAGCCAACTCGACAGTCTTCGGAGATCAGCACCGGAAGAACGTCCAGAAGTAACCGTGCCTATTCTTTTCCAAAACCCATCCCCCCTCTGTCCCCGAGCGAGCATATTACCAGGTTATTCCAGTGATGGCATGCCTGCCTCGGCTTATGCGCTCCAGTACATCTGACCTCGAAGGTAATCCCATATCCGCAGAATCCTTCGTGCCCGGCCCGCAGAGCTTGCCAAGCACCATCTTTCCTAGGACAGAGGATCAAACCCATAGTCTTGTGTGCGTTGTGAAAGAAGTCTTTCTGTTTTCCACTTCAGATAAAGATATTTTTACACAAATTTTGGACGCCTTCGTTAAAGCGGTCGTCCCAAGCAAGGGAACCAATATATGGATCACCAACTACAAAGCCCCAGGCCTGGCATCGAGAAACACGGTTTCCGACACACTACTAACCTGCACCACCAGATTATCAGCCAAGGCGGCATAGGTGACAACTTGTACGTTGTCGGAAAGGGCCCATTCGCTTACTGGATTGCTCCGCCTCAATGTAGCAAGCCACTTCCTTCAGCATGTGCTAAAGTACAGTTCCGCCCACCCCGGCGGCTTCTTCGGCGAGCTCGCCCTGCTATACAACGCTCGACGTGCCGCAACATAACCTCAAGCGAGCAGGATTGCCTCCTCTAGGCCCTCGACAGGGTATGCAATGCTATCAGATGTTATATGATCTGCTTGCTGTTGATAAGGTACTAATAAATTAAACCAAAGTACCTTCATTTCTACCCTGTAGTTTTTATAGTTCCGTCACGCCATGATCATCTTTCGAGAAGTACACACAAGGAAGAGAAGAAAAGAAAAGAAAAGAAAAGAAAAGAAAAAGAAAAAGAAACAGAGAAGTTGCACTTATCTGAGATCTCTTTCATTATAGCTTGGGCTCTGCTCCATACATTCTTCTACATAAATCCCTCGGCGGGCCTGGAATACTTCGGTTCTCCGGGAGTGGATCATAGCCCGGGTAACCATGTGGCCCGAACCGCACCCCAGACGATCGACGGAAATTAGTCTGGTTGGTCAGGGCGGTTCCCATGGACAATATGTAGTACGGAGAACAGATTTAGAATAAAGTTCGAAGCGAGTCAGTGGCCAGCTAAAAGCTCTTTAAGCTGAGCTGTACAGAGGTCCTTCTTCGAGTCACGAGATGTGCTGGGCAATTTCGCCTTGTTCTAAAATGCTTTACTTCTCTTGTGGTTAGATTACCGCACCATGTCACATTATTTGCAAAAATATCCACCCAAGGAAAGGCAATCTCAACGTGCAAGCGTTTAGCCGATAATGTATTGGCTGTTTCGCTGTCCATTATGTACGCTGTCAAGGAGTGTAACGCTTGTATATCAAATACATTCCCTTACCCTACTTGATTTGTCACTTCATCTATTGTTGAATGTTTATCTTCTCAATTTAGTCACTAATTCATTGTGAAACCCCCTCTTTCAAAAATACCGCCACATCCCTGCCATTTCATCGGCCCGCTCCGAATTATCATTAAAATTACCTGATAGTTCAGTGGATTTCCAAGTTGGAATCTTCCGATTTATGATTCATTCATCCACCTATATATTTCTCTCTCTCTCTCTCTCTCCCCCCCAATCTTTTTCTTTGATCCGTCAACGTCCTGCGCGGCTGTAGGGCATGACCATGCGATGTCTGATCTTCTGGGGGAAAAGAAAAAGGTAAAAAGAAAAAGAAAAAGAAAAAAAAGAACGGAATGGTTCATTTGCGTTCAGACGTAATACATATGTATTAAGTACCTGAATCTGTAATTATGAGTTCTGCAACTGACAGTTATTTAGTTCTTTGCTCATGGCACGTCGCCCTCTATCTATGTGAAACCGGGCCTATCGTGACTTGAACATCCACATAAACCTTCATGCATCCTGGCCAAACTTGAGACTTGAAGCATGTCGTGTCCTAATGCCACATTCTTTCTCATTATATATACTCCTTCCTATATTCAAACCCCGAGAAGACGCATGACCTCTGCGGTATATATGTCCGGTTGGCTGGTTTGTTCCTCTTCTTGTTTTCTTATATATGGAATGTCACTTTGCTTGCCCCTTTCGATCAGTCCGGGTATTCTGCGAAATCTTCACACGCGAGCTACTCGTTTGTGAAATTTTCAACACGCAATCTATCGTGGTCTTTGTTGGATCATCCATGGGCAAGATAAATGGCGTTGTACCGCTCCTCTCACGAAAGACCTTTTCCTGCCGGACTCGCTCCCTGCAATCATAATATCGTTTCGCAAGGAGTATTTTTCGAATATATCAGAGGAAAGGAATACGAATCTTCGATAGAAAGCCAAGGGTTCTGCCTATATCCTTTTAGCACTCAACCGTCGTATGAGGAAATCGACGATGAGGACAAAATCCATGATATACTCTATGCTGAGGTCAAGGAAGTATTACGAAGGCTGACAGGAGCGTCAATCGTTCATATCTGGTCGCATGTGGTAACTTAGCGTCATACCCCACCCAAGAACGACAATCATATGTCTGACATCTGACATCTCCAAGGTCCGTGAAAAACAAGCAGATGGTATCAAGCCGAGTGAAATAGCTCACATCGGTAAGAACACTTAACCAGAGCCCCAAGACCTTACTTTTGACCTTCGCTTCCCAGACATGGCGTCAAGAATTGTTTCGACAGTACTGTACAAAGCCCGATTCGAACATTGCGCCATCGGCGAAATATGAGTTCTATAAGTATATAATCCATCTACATGCCGTTCGTGGTACACCCGGCTGACTGACATATCTCATCCGTGGCCTTTGGTTGCCGTTACTTCAGGTGAAGAATTATCCTTTAGCCTTTTGCGAACCGAGTTCCGTGGATCCGGATGATATACTTCCTGTGATATCACGGTAATGTCGTTCCCGGCCAGAACTGCTTATTGCAACACAGCAAGTCCCAAAAGTGGTGTTATAAAAGCAACCAACAGCCGTCTGAGGCTTGGATCTTCTATCAAGGGGGTAACAGATTCGATGACAAACCAGGTATACCAGCGTCATTTGTCTCACATGATTCAATAGCTGTCGCTAATCTAGTAATGGTTTTCGACAAAGGTGTCCCACATGCCTCGTTCCGCTTAGATGGAAGTGATGCTCCACGACAGAGTATTGAATTCAAAGCCATGGTCTTTTTGAAAATTTCGACGCTACTTTTTGGGCCATGCTACTTTTTGGGCGACTATTAAGGTGATGGGAATTTGGCACTTTGGAGGATTTTGAATATTATGCTTCTTAAAAGAATGATTTATATTGATGAACTAAACGAAGGACTTATGAGGGATTGCGGGAAGGGGCAGTCCTTGCTCCAAGTAGGTAGAGAAAACCGGACCACGACTGATCTCAATGACCATTTCGCTGGTAGTCGACACTCGTAGCACTGGAAGGTATTCCCCAGAAAGAGGTGAAAGAAAAAGATTTCAAAGCTTGGATGGCACCAAAGGATCGGCTCTAATCTGGTCGCTAGCAAGGCTGTTTTCGGCTTCGTTTGGAGCGACCGCTGTAATATTCCGACCATCCTCACATTCCTTACTCTTCTTCGTACGGGACTTTTGCTCATGATAGCGCCGCAGCTCTTCCTCCCTACTCATTGGCTCAGCCTTAAGATCGTGAAACCAATCGTCATTGGGTATAATTCCCTCATATTCCAGTGGCATGATCCTCGAGTTTCTGTCATATGGCAAGTCTTTTTGCTCCCAGAATACTCGTTCCTGGCGCCGCAGCTCTTCAGCTTCCGACTCGCTCAGTTCCAGTCGTGTAGCAAACGGTGGCAGATAAGATGGATCTGTAGCGTAAGCCTGCCAGTCTGTAAGTCGGAAGTCTTGTTCCATTTGCCAGACACCACGGGGCAATAAACTCCCTTGATTGAGTTTGTAATAACTGTCTAACTGGGCTCGGTGCTCGCGCCGCATTCTGTCAGCTTTGGTCTCGCTTGGACAAAGCTGGGTATCCGGCTCGTTTTCTGATGGCTGAGGCAGATGGTTGTCGGGCTTGGTTTCTTCTTTTACTGGGGTTGTCGATTCGTCCGCCGCTTCATTTTTACTTGTCTGCTCGGTTTTCAGATCGGCCAACCATCCCTCGTCCGGTATCAGGCAGCAGGACATCATATCCTCCTGTTCTAACCTCCACCACTCTCGTTCCTGGCGCTGTAGCTCTTCGGCTTCGGCTTCGCTCAGTTCCAGTTCTGTGCCTACTGGTGGCTGATAAGATGGATCTGTAGCGCAAGCCTGCCAGTCTGTAAGTCGGAAGTCTTGTTCCAATTGCCAGATATCGCGCGGCATTAGCTTCTTGGGACTCCGTTTGATATAATCATCCAACTGGGCCCGTCGCTCGCGCCGCAGTCTGTCGGCTTTAGTTTCGCTTGGGTCTGGTTCGGGGGAATTCGACTCGTCTTCCGATGACTCGGACAGCTCGTCGTCGGCGGGCTTGGTTTCGTCTTTTGCTGGGGCTGTCGATTCATCCGCTTCTTCATCTGCTCGTTTGTCCGTCTTGTTGTCATCGTTGGGGCTTGGAGACGGGTCGTTGTTGAGCCCAGTTGCCTCCTTTGCTTGGATCCTCGGTTCATCCGCTTCTTCGTTCGTCTTGTTGTCGTTGTCGGGGCTCGAAGACGAGTCGGTGGGAGGATCGTCGAGAGGAGGAGAGCAGTCTGGCTGATGGGACTGTTTCTCAGCTCCAGTGGGATCGTTTGCGGTAGTGTGCAAATTGTCCTTCATTAGCTGGCACAGCTTCTCTTCAACTTCCCTTGGGTCATTGGTCGATGACTGATGCTGATGCTCATCGTTCTTGATGGAAGCCATTGCTGTAAGCAGGGGCCTGGATGGCAGTGCGTTGTAGTTGCTGGAAGGGAGGAGAAGGTTGCTTTTGGTGAGATGAGAGACAGATCTGTGGATGATCTTTCGCAGGGAGCTGAGAGACTGAAAGAAGAACCAGGTGGCTTTGAGAAACCGATTGTTTCTGCATCTATTCTCCAACTCATTGTCTGGATAATGAGGGGGTATTTATATCTGATGAATAGCTTCATCTGCCCCTGATCAAGGGGACTGTACCCGACCGCGTGAAGGCATCTTCCTTGTTGTCGGCCATATGGGCGATATCACAAGCGAATTGTATCGAGGAATAGCAGAGATCATCTCTTCAAGAGTGTTACGATGGGGGAATACCAAGATAGAAGTCGTGATGGTTGTCAAAATGAGGGTATTGGTGTGGGTTGACCAGGGAAGAGCCCTCCAAAATGCCTCGGTCGGGATTGGAACAACAACAGCAACAGCAGTGGCACAGGCACTGGCAGCAAAGTAATAGGAATACGGTATGTACAGCAGCGTTGCACCTGGAGCAAACGGGAATAACAACTCGGTCTAGATCCAAATATTATACTAATGCCAGTCTCAGGTGAAGAGCGGTATACTCCGTGCGACTGTAATCGTTTGCTCCCAACAAGTCTTGTTTGGAACGGAGCCCCAAGCTATTGCAGAGTTACTTAGACTCATGCGCTCTACCTACCTCAGAGATGCAACTTTACGGTGACTTCCATGACACTGTCACTGCAAGGGTTCTTCCTTCATTCTATGATTACATGGAGATAACTATGGATGCTCTAGACTGTCTGACCCTAGGTCATCTCCATCAAAGACTTCTCCTGACGGATACCTCCTACACAAAAGCCATCAAATGACTCATACAATAATACATCTTGTTATGTTGTACCTGGAACAAACAAAGCGCAGGGCATGATCATCATGTGATTGTCAGACTGATCTTGCGAGTGATTTGGTATCCTTCATGTTCATTTGGCCCTTTACTAGTGCCTACAAGCAGCTAATACGTTTGGCATGGTTTCCAATCGTCGCAGTTACAATCAATCTATTGCTGCTCGCCTCCTGATACTACCTCTGGTCGATTCGCTTCTTCCTTCGACTCCTCGCGCTGTATTTGCCAGGCTCCTTGTCGGTTTCCCTCTTATCCCCTGTCACTACTACATTCGAATGAAGTCTTCGGGTCTGCACAATGCTTACAGCCAAGTGGGAGACATGTGACGCCCAAGGCCAACGATATCTCTGTGGGCAGGCTTCAGGTAACATATCTTCGATGCGAAGTGCAGACGTCAAAGGTTGATGATTTGGCAAGGAGATGGGTCCCAGAGCTCAGCGCCAAACCGGCCACTCCTACTCGTAACCTTCGTCGCTTTCAGTCACCACATTGACAAGACTGTGGGGAAATCGTTTGAATGTACGAGTTTGGTACTTTGTCGATAACGATCAACGCTAATCCACACATCATACGGCTGGAACATCCAACAAATGAGGCAACGGACACTTCCAATCTCGAGACCTTCCAACAATATGAAGCACTTCGAATGCGGGCAGACTTTGACAGCAACGGCAGCACCGTGCATAGCGACAGCGTCATTGTAGGATCCAAGAACCCAGGCAGCGTCATAATTGGAAGCACGTCCACTCAAAGTTCCTGGTCTGGTCGCAAAGAAACAAGTGCGGAGACCTATATGGAAGTATACCATCCTACACTTGGGGATCTGAGAGCACTGATGAATACATTCCGCAATATTGAGGTAGGGGGAATTCCTTCCAAGGTCATTGTTCGCACCCATTCCAGAACGGGTATCTATGTAATGTTTGTGGAGATCAAGAAAGGCACCGAAAGTGCATAACAAGTGCATACAGAGGGGATGTTCATACATCTTTCAGAGTGCAGCTCCCATCTTCTGCTCTCATAGCTAAAGACGTTTTCATCATTTCGAGGACCTGATGGAGGTGGGTGTCAGCATACAAAGGTATCTTCCCGTCTTCGACCACTATATCTATGAGAGTAGTCACTCACAAACAGCATCAATCAATCCAGTTCCTGAACCGCCGTCGTTGCTATCATTTTCACCTCCCTCGTCATCCCCTCCATCTCCTTCCTCGCCACCACTGGAGGCCTGACAAGCTTCCAAATCTTTCTTCAACTGCTCCATCTCCCTCTGTAAACCACTGACTTTATCCTTTAACCCACCCACCAAGTTAATCTCCTCCTTACAATCAACCGAATCCAAAGGCAAAACCTTCCGATACGACATCCACAGCACACGATCTATATCTTCAAGTACCGGCTCAGTAGCCCCCAAATAGAGGAAAAATGGAGCCCCGTGGTTCGCCGGTTGCGCACTGTATATCCTCCATTTTCAGGTAGAGCGTGCTATACAGATATGGTTGCAGGCTTCAGGATCCATAGCTGCAGGGTAGTTCTCCAGCAGATTCCCGTTCTCAGGCGCTGCCGCATACATATGCGACAGATAGTCCCTGATCTATTTGCATATCATGTCCATGTTTGGAGGAACAGAATTTGTCAAGATATCCTGGGACCGTTTTGAATAGATGAAAGTGCCGTAAAGGCGAGGTATGTAGGGGTGATGAAGTAGGTCTTGGGAGACAATATAAGGAGAATTCTACGTACAGACTGAGATGTAGTCAGACAAAGCAAAATGTTAGCAATCAATGTTGCTATCATATAGTTGTTACTGTCATCCCATTTATGTCGTGTTCATCTACATCTTGTCTACTCATCTCTGTAAATAGAAGAATCCAATTCCATTCATGGCCATCACATCATCATCAACCATAAACCATATACATACTATCCAAGTCATGAACTAAGATACGGCATACCTACAATCCAACCCAGTACCTCGTCCTCTCAACTCCAAATTCCCCCCTCAACTCTCCCTCCCCAGTTCCTGTGACCAACACCCCGTATGTTCCCTTCTCCGACGCCCATTTCTCGCGCTGCTCATCCCACCAACTCGTCGCCAATTTCTTCTCCACCACTATCTCAACCTGTTTCTCCTCCCCAGGCTGGAGGAACACCTTTGTGAACCCCTTCAGTTCGCGGACGGGACGGTTCACCTCTGTCTTTGGGGGAAGGACCCACAGCTGGACGATCTCTGCGCCGGCGACGGTGCCTGTGTTCTTTACTTGGACCGTGGCTGTGATGGGCTCTCCGTCGGTGAGGGTGCTCTTCTCCGGTGAGGTAGTGAGCTTCAGATCACTCCGGGAGAAAGTGGTGTAGGATAGGCCGTGGCCGAAGGGGAAGAGGGGTTTCACGTTTGTCTTCTCGTAGTACCTATATCCGACGTAGATGTCTTCGCCGTAGAGAACGCGGCCTCGCTCGGAGCGGAAGTTAAGATAACTAGGGTTATCCTGTAAGCGGACGGGGAAAGTCACGGGGAGCTTGGCGGACGGGTTGACGTCTCCGAAGAGGACGTCCGCAATGCCGTTGCCGCATTCGTTTCCGCCGAACCAGGCGTGGACGAGCGCTTTGGCTTTGTGGACCCATGGCATGGTGACAGGGGTACCGGACTGGAGACACACGACTGTGTTGTCGGGGTTGGCGTCGAGGACGCGAGAGATCAATTCATCGGTTCCAGGAGGAAGGTCCATATGTTCGCGGTCATTGCCTTCGGTTTCCCACTCGCTAGTGAGACCGGCGAAGATGATGACTTGGGAGGCTTGGCTGGCTTGGGAGACGGCGTTTGAGATCAGTTCTTCTTGGCTGACCTGGCGGGCGGCGCCGAAGCGGAATCCGCCGGGTCCGAAGATGACAATGCCCCGGGTGTCGAGGTCGGAGGTGGGGGCGCTGCCGAATTCGAGGACTACTTTGTAGGTTTGGCCTGCGTTGAGGTGCTTAGAGCCGCGTTCTTCGACGGTGGCGTTGCCGAAGAAGGCGGTGCCTTGGCGTTGGTTCTTGGTGTTGTCGACGACGGTTTCGTTGTCGATTAGGAGACGACCGGTGCCGACTACAGTGACGCCGAAGTCGTAGACGCCGGATTCAGTGGGGGTGAAGTAGCCTTCCATGTCGACGTAGAAAGTGAGGGAGTGGATCTTGGGGTTGACGTAGTCCATGAGAAAGCCGCTGGAGCGGAGGAGATGGAGCTCGTCGACGAGGGTGCGGTTCTCGTGGGAAGGAGGCTCGTTGTAGACACGGAAAGTGAACCCTGGTTTACCATCCTGGGTTTTGAGCAAAGGACCGAGGAGAGGAAGTTCTTTGTGGGAGTAGACGCCTTGTGAGAATTGAACTTCGGAGGTGGCTTTGGCGGCGACGCCATCGAAGGGCGAGACGGTGTAGTAGGGGTCAAGGGAGGCAGAGCCGCCGCCACAGTAGGCGGCGATTTGGGCATTTGGTCCGATGACCAGGACCGGCTTGTCTTTGCGGAGGGGAAGAATGTTATCTTCATTTTTCATAAGCACGACGGCTTCAGCAGCGGCGCGGCGGAGAAGCTCCCGGTCTTGGGGCCGGTTAAGGGCTTTTTCGGGGGCGTGCTCGGGGATGCCCAGAGGCTCAACCCAGTTGATGAGGTTAAGGATATTGCGGACACGGTCGTCCAGAACGAATTCTGGTACCTTGTTGGACGACACAGCGTGCGCCAGGGCAGAGCCACGCCAGCGTGTCTTGCCGGGCATTTCGAGGTCCAGACCAGCAGCAATAGCATCGGAGGTGCTGTAGGTTCCGAACCTGGGGCACTGTTAATATCCATGCTAGGCAGCTAGGTATAGAGATATTTCTTACCAATCACTCATAACTAGACCATCCCAATCCCACTCCTTCCGGAGTATATCAGTAATAAGCTCCTTATTCTCACTGACATGCGTGCCATTGACCTTATTATAGGCCGTCATAACACACGCAGTGGGACATATCCTCATAGCCAACTGAAACGGCAACAGGTATATCTCGCGCAGGGCACGCATAGTGACGATGCTGCTGACCGCCATACGCTCATGTTCCTGATCATTGCAGACAAAGTGCTTCAGCGTGGCAGCAACGCCCTTCTCCTGCAACCCCTTGCAGTAATTCCCAGCCAAAATTCCTGAAAGTACGCCATCCTCGGCGAAAGACTCGAAGCCTCGACCGCCGAGCGGAGAGCGCTGGATGTTGATGGTGGGACCGAGCACGATATGCGAGCCCTTAGCGATGGACTCGTCACCCATGAGCTGGCCCACCTCGTGCAGCAAATGGGCGTCCCACGTTGCTCCGAGGGCGGTGGCACAGGGGAAACAGGCGGCTGGGATTCCGTTGAAGAAGCGGGTGCCTCGCACGCCATTGGGACCATCGGACATGCGCAGAGCGGGGATGTTTAGTCGGGAAATTGAGGCAGTGTGCCAGAAGTCCACGCCTGTTGTAATGATTAGTGATCTTTTCTGATTTTAGTTCG